TTATCACAATGAAGTCGCTGTTGACCTTCTACAGCTTCTTGTAGCGGTTGGTGCTTGGCTCCAACGAGGTGTAGGCATCGTGCGCGAGGGCAGCTGTGGGGCAGACATTACAGATCTGTAGTTGTGAGGCTCTCCGTGGTTTCGTGCCGTCATGGCGCAGCGGAGCGCCGGGCAGGAAGACTTTTGCGATGAGGCAGTTGTTGAATGCCTGGCGCGAGGGGTGGCCAAGGCGTTGGTGCCAGAGGTCGTCATCTGCGCGAACTCCAGGGGTGCGCAGGTATCGTGCGTGATGCGCGGCTGCCTTTGCTTCTTTTTTATGGGGAATGTAGAGCACGCGTCCTTCTTCTTCTTCTTCTGATTCTGCTTTTGCTTCCTCCTCTCGTTTTGGATCTGCTTCTGCTTCTCCTTCTGCATGTGCTCTTGATAGATAGAGCGCGAAAAAAGATGCGGTCGGGGATGATGTTAAGTGGAGTGGTGGTGCCTTCGATGAATCGAGCGAATGGATCTGGGCATGAGAGGGGTCCGTATGCGTCGCGCGGTGGAGTTGCCGGCTCGTTGCCTTGGTCGAGCCCGGTCCAGGTGGAGTGTCAGATCTGTGGTGAGCAAGGAAGGGATGGGAGGTTGCGCGGACGTTGCTCGAGGGGAACTACAACTCTTGGTGGAGTCAGCGCGGCGGCTATCTCTCTCCATGCCTGCTATAATTCTTCTTGGGTGAGTTCTCCTTCAGCAACTCCCCAAGGTCCAGTGTTGTCCTAGCCTCCTCCGCCGGTGCCGCCGCCAGTGCCCCAGGCACCAGTAGCAGATGCTCATGTTCCTCCAGTGTTTTCTTCTGTGTTTCCCCATCCTCCGTCAGTGGGAACCTTTCGGGCTGATTCGGGATCCCATCCTGCTGTGATTCTCTCTCGGTTGATCTGCTCCCTTTCTTATTGTTCTTCTTTCTCCTCATCTTCCTTAAGGCTGAGTTCATTTGGGGCGTTAGGATCCTTCCACTCCTTATAAACTTGATGATGGAGTTCGCGGGTATAAGGAAGTGGCCGTCATGCGTTCCCTTTGAGTCTCCTTTTAGGATCCAGCGAAGTGTCCCAGTCGCGGATGTGGATCGCTCCTCTTGTTTCATGCCAAGTTCCTCTTGTTCGGAGCTGAAGATGTGGTAGAAGGATGTTGCGAGTTCCATTTCTGTCATACCCTCTATTGGCGCCGCGGCGCTTTCCACTTCCTTGATTGCGGCCAGATCTCTCTCGACTTCTTCGGTGCGACTTGCTGTGGGTGTGAAGCAGCTTGTGCAGTGTCCATCGGCCCAAGTTGGTGCAGATTTATCTCGCGAGGGTGAGGGCTGCGTCTGATCCACGGTCGTCCGTCAGGATGTTTCCATAAAATTTCGGACTTGTAGGCGAAATGCATGGGAATAAGGTCCATGAACTCGTCCGAAGTGGCTCAGCAGTTGGGAATGTCGGAATCGAGTGCATAAACTCCGTTGATAGATCGTGCTCAGTCGAGATATTTGCGGTATTCGACAAGTGTGTCGGGGAGCGAAGTGGAGGATGAGGTCGCGTGTGTAGGGGTTGGTAGTGAGTGTGACTCCACAGTCGGAAATTTGTCCCGCATACAGCAAGTTGAAACATAGATTCGGCACGTACAGCACGTTGTGGAATGTAATGTATGTGTTACTGTCTCGTGCCTGAAGCAGGACTATGCCTTGCGCATTTGCCCGCAGCTGGTTCTTGTTTGTGACGGTGATGTAAGTGGAAGTGGGGGTGGCGCTGACGTTGGAGATAAAGCGCAGTGATCCCACCATGTGGAAACGAGAGGGTTTGTATGGGTTGGAAGGTGACTGAAATTTTGTACCGTAGTAAGGTTGAGGGCAGTTTGGGCTGAAATTTCCTTGCCTTTGGGATTGTTTGCCATATCTTGTAGTCGCTGCAGCACTCCACATACCTTCGTCCCTCCGCTTGTTCCGTGCAAGGTCTCGACTTTGCTGCTCGTTGGCAAGGGCTTCGAAGATGAACGCACGGGTCTTCATTGACTGTGGAAGCGCTTGTAGTGTTGCACGAAAAGTGTCCCATTCCGGTGTAAGGCCGGTGAGGATGACGGCCTTGAAAAGAGACTCATGAATCTCCAATCCGATCGCTGCTGCTTCCTCCGGCATCGTTTAAGCTAGTTGAAGGTAGGCTTGTGCTGATTCATCTTCTTCCATCTTCCAATTCATGAAGCGGCTCCACATCTCGTCTTGGCTGCTCTCGGATTTTGACTGGTGCATAGACTCAGTCGGCTCCATGCTTCCTCTGCACTGTTTGCCTTTGTAGAACAGGGCAGGAGTGACTTTAACTGGTGCTCATGAATGCTATTGAATAGGTAGAGGAAGGCCTCCTTGTTGCGCCGCTCGTAAAGTCCTTTTTCAGCTTCTGAAGCATCTGCTGCTGGTTTGGCTGCTTCTTCAATATAGTAAGGCCACAGATCCAGAACGGATGAAAACTGAGTGAGCTCAAACTGAGTTGCCCATGTTGGAAAATCTTTGCCGTTGAACTTGGGAAGGTGAAGCTGAAGGAGGTGAATGGTGAGTATGCTGTTGAAGACCCTCCAGGTGCAACTGCTTCCAATAGACCTGTAGCTTCTGAGGTTGACTCTGTAGCTCCTCCGGTTGACTGGACAGCATAGACAGTTGGATTGACTCCCGCCATGGTCGGATTATCCTTGGAGGAAGGTGGCGGGCTCGATTGATCGAAACGACTAGCTCTGATACCAAATTATAAAACAGAGTAGCTGTGGCTACTGGAAGGCTGGAAAATTGGCTGGAAATGCTCAACAGAGCTGCTGGACTTGGTTGAATTTGAAGAAACTTCACTATGATCAAGGTTGTACAAGCCCACTAAGGCACAACTTCTTAAGCATTACAAACATGCAGATTGATAGTTCAAACCAAGCTGCTAAACACGGCAAATTCCTTGGGAACTTGGGCACAATTCAGCTGCATGGACCTTGAGTGACTCTGAGAGCCACATGAGGTGCGTGAATAAGAAATATATGGAATTCTCTGTTATAATAGCTGATTCTGTTTTGTAGAAACTTGTAGAAACTGCTAGCACTTCTTCTTGAAAGCAACTCCGAACTGTATCGATATTTCGGCTGAAGTCTGATTGGTTGGGAAACTTTGTGATACTATCGTGAAGCCCTCGATCATCGCCGACATTCCCCCTTGCTGTTGCTTGTGTGCGAAGGGCTGGGGTGGCAGAAACTCCAACAAAGGCCCTGATCGGTACCACCCTTAAGCGGAGTGAGTGAGCTTCGGGGGAGTTCACTAACTCCCGCTTCGCGTGTGACGAAAGTTTACTCACTCCGACGTGGCTTACTCCGAGTAAGCCAAAATGAGCAAACGATCGCTGACCTACCTATTCGGAGTACGACTCGAAGTGGCCCTTCAGAAAGTTTCGTTCACGGGCAAATTTAGCTCCGCGGAGGAACTCCGTTTACTCCAGCATTTTGGGAGAGTGAGCCTCCCTACTCAGAGTAGGCATCGAAGGGCAAACCCGATAACACCGCAGATTTTGTTTTTGTTCTTGCAGGGACACCCTCCTCAAACACCTTTAGAACTTCCCATCCACTCTCAGTGGTTCTTGATGGTGTCATTTTGTGGTCCAGTTACCCCTTTGTGGGAATTAATTTTCTTGGTGACGAGTGGGGCAGTCTGGGCCGAAAGCAGCAGTGTTTCTAAGGAAATCGCGCTCACGACCCTCGCAACTTCCTCACGCGGAGTTTCGAGGGTGTGCCGATTACCCCTCGGAGTTGGGAAACTTACAGGAGGAAAGGTGAAGCACCCACGGACACGTGCTCACACGTGTGGCTCGGTGTACACAAGATGCCCGTTTGACTAGCCCAAGGTTGCTTTGTGAAGAGCCCTCTTCACAAAGCAAAAAGGATCCTTTATAAAATCTTTTAAAAGCCCTTTTTGCTAAGTGCGAATCGACGAAAACTTAGTGAAAAGCCCTATTCATTTCGCTAAGTTTTCGTCAATTCGCACTTAGCAAAAAGGGCTTTGAAAAGATTTTGTAAAGATTTTGACGTTGGTCTCTTCTGTCAAACTTCGGTTTTTGTGGTTCGTATTGCTCGAGGTGCTTATAAATGGGGTGCAACTGGCTGGCACCCTAATACACGGGTGCAGAGTTTCCATCGCGGGCAGGGCAAATTCGCGCGCAGGGGTTGGGCATCTTGTTCGAGTGCCAACGCATCGGAAGTGTCTCGGCTTAGGGGCTACCGATCAGGGCCAAAGTTCGCTTTACCACTGAGAAACTTCACGACACTAAGGGCGCGTGTCCTTGCTGGCCAGAGATCGAAATAAGGTCGACCTTTAGGTAGTAACCGGTTTCGTTAATTCTGTTCAGAGTAGGTCGCGACGCTCGTCAACAATGGGCCAGGTCAAGGAAACGAACAAAGACCTGAACATGGTCGAACTTACAACTGTCTGTTTGCGAACCCCTTTTGGGGAACGGGTGTGCTTTTGCGGACGCTCGACGAAACTGCGAAATTTCGCGCACACTGCCGAACAGTTCACAGTTTTGAGGAGTCGTCAGCCTCCACGTGGACGACATCGTGAAACCAAAAACAACCCTGTTAGGTGCCGTCCGTCCGACCACAACTTTTACGGTCAACTGGCTGCTCGGGTAACCTATGAATAACCTACTGATCTGGGTGCGACTCGGGCCCTGCTCGATAAGGTCGAGCTTAGATGGTCGGCCATCGTTGTTCCAAAGTGTCCGAAGTGAAATGTGATGATGCGCTTTGACAAAGAAACTCTCAATTGTCGACATGAATTTTACAAATTGCGCTGAAGGACACACGCCCTAAGTAGGAAGCATGTCCCGCCCTAAGTAGGAAGCATGTCCCGCCCTACTACCCGCAATGCGATGACAGCACAGGCTGTCGTCAAAGATCTACTTTCCTTTTCGTAGTTTTTGTTCGATTCGAACTTTCATCTGACAAACAAATTTGTGGCGGAAGCAGCCACGATGCGCGGGAGTTGTGATGCCGCGGAGATGGGGGAGGAGGGTTGTGAGGTAGAGACATCGAATGGCGGTGTAACGGGCGGTGGTGGTAACAAGGGCTTCGAGAACATCGTAATACGAGATCCACGCAGTCTGCTTGAGAAGCTTGATACGCCGACGTTGGTACGAGTTATAATGCATCATTGGTGCATTGCAGGCTTGTCGTAAGGTTTCTTTACAGGCGCATTCATGAAAACCGTACACCGCCTATCTTTTTGAGAATTAAGATTGTTTTCTGCTCCGTCCTCCTTCCCGACCAATCAGGTGGCGCCAGAGCTCGCGCCCGGCCCTAAGAACCGGCTGGACGCGTACCTCACAGCGCTCGATAAGCTATCGGACGCGCTACGGTTCTTCGAGGTGCACAGCTATCTGGGCAGCTGCCGCACCGAGCTGCGGCAGGGGAGGGGGCTGATGGACGATGCGGTGGGGCGACTGAAAGAGGAGTTCGGAGAGGTGCTGTCCGGTGCAAGGTGGGCTAGGGGTAGGTGTTCGCTTTGTTAGTGCTGTCCATTCCATCCTCATTCCATCCCCTCTCCCTACTCTCTCCCTCTCCCTCGCTTCCCCCCGTTCCGCCTCCCTCCACTCTCCTTTCCCATCCATCCCCCCTCTCCTTCCTCCTTCCGCTCTCGTTCCATCGCCCTCCCCCCACCCTTCCGTCCCACGCCATCCCTTTCCCTCCCCACTCCCTCCCCAATCCATCCGCCCCCACCTCAACTCCACCCAATCGCAACCCCACCCCACCCCACCTCACCCCACTGTCGTTCTTCCTGGCGTGCAGCCTGGTACCTGATCGAAAGGCGCTCGTCCAATCAGCAGCGTGCATGAAGCCAGGCGAGGTGGTGCAGCCCGTGCCTCTGGTTCGGCCCGAGGCTGTGAAGCAGCTTCGGGCCATGGCGGCATGGATGGTGGGCAATGAGTACGAGGCAGCATGCCTTCGAGTGTACGAGTGAGTCGTGCTAGCCTATCATTGCTCGCATCCACCCCTCAATGCACAGCACACTGTATGCCTAGTCATCTCGGGGTCTTGTATGTCAAAGCACGTGCTCATCCTAGTCCTTCTTTCCCCATCAACACCTTTTATCCCGCTTCTTCCTCTCTCTCCCTCTCTCTCCCCACACCCACGTCCCCACACCCACTTCTCCCCGCTCCCCGATCAACAAACCCTGGCCTTCCTGCCCATGGCTGTGGCCAGGGAGCAGCGGGCAGCAGCGCTGCTACGGTGTTTGGAGCGGCTGGGCAGTGCAGCGCTGACGCGCGACGAGGTGGTGGCGCTGCCCTGGACCGACCTCGAGCCCCTCATGAAGCGCTGGGTCGAGAACCTCAAGCTCACGGTAACAAGGTTTGGAGAACCTTAAACTCACGGTAACAAGGGGTGGAGAACCTTAAACTCACGGTAACAAGGGGTGGAGAACCTTAAACTCACGGTAACAAGGGGTGGAGAACCTCAAACTCACTGTAACAAGAGATGGAGAACGAGAACCTTAAACTCACGGTAACAAGGGGTGGAGAACCTCAAACTCACGGTAACAAGGGGTAGAGAACCTTAAACTCACGGTAACAAGGGGTGGAGAACCTTAAACTCACCTCACGGTAACAAGGGGTGGAGAACCTTAAACTCACGGTAACAAGGGGTGGAGAACCTCAAAATCACGGTAAAAAGGGGTGGAGAACCTCAAAATCACGGTAACAAGGGGTGGAGAACCTCAAACTCACGGTAACAAGGGGTGGAGAACCTCAAACTCACAGTAATGAGGGGTGGAGAACCTCAAGAAAACAGTAACAAGGGGTGGAGAGCCTCAAGCTAATGGTAACGAGGGGTGGAGAGAAGTTGAAGCTCGCAGTAACGGGTGGTGGAGAAGACATGAGCACCGAGTCCATCGCAGGCTGGCCCCATCGGGCTACCCCGCCCTGTTGCAGCTTGGCTCCAGCTCTTCCTGTCGCGCCTCAGGCCTGGCCTCCGTTCCCAGCACTCTTGCACTCTGCGCATTCGCTTCTCCCCCTCTGCCAAATTCTCCCCTCTCGATTCCCCCCCTCTCCCAATTCTCCCCCTCTCCTGCTTCTCCTGCTTGACTCCGCCCACTCCACTCCTCTTCCCGCTGGTCGTTGCCTGACGGCCGTGCTGCTGCCAGCTGAAGCAGCTGCACGCCTTGGGACTTGATGCCTCGCCTAGTGTTGACACGCGTCAAGCTGCACTCCTCGGCCTGCGTGCAGATGCTGGTGCTCATTGCAGCGGAGGACGCCGTGTGCACCGACATCATCGGCCGGGGCCCCACCCCCTCCCCCTCGGCGCGCGCGCGGTGCCTGACGGGAGTGGCGGTGCCGGCGCTGAAGCAGCTGCACGCGTTTGGCGACATCATCGCTGACATGCCGCGCGCCCCCGAGCACGTCTTCTCCCTGCTCGAGATGGTCGAGGCGCTGCTCGACCTGCGCCCCGCTGTCAGTCACTCACTCACTCATGCTGTCACTCACTCATGCTGTCAGTCACTCACTCACTCATGCTGTCACTCACTCATGCTGTCAGTCACTCACTCACTCATGCTGTCACTCACTCACGCTGTCAGTCACTCACTCACTCATGCTGTCACTCACTCATGCTGTCAGTCACTCACTCACTCATGCTGTCACTCACTCATGCTGTCAGTCACTCACTCACTCATGCTGTCACTCACTCATGCTGTCAGTCACTAACTCGCTCATGCTGTCACTCACTCACGCTGTCAGTCACTCACTCACTCATGCTGTCACTCACTCATGCTGTCAGTCACTCACTCACTCATGCTGTCACTCACTCATGCTGTCACTCACTCATGCTGTCAGTCACTCACTCACGCTGTCAGTCACTCACTCACTCATGCTGTCACTCACTCATGCTGTCAGTCACTCACTCACTCATGCTGTCACTCACTCATGCTGTCAGTCACTCACTCACTCATGCTGTCACTCACTCATGCTGTCAGTCACTAACTCGCTCATGCTGTCACTCACTCACGCTGTCAGTCACTCACTCACTCATGCTGTCACTCACTCATGCTGTCAGTCACTCACTCACGCACTCATGCTGTCACTCACTCACTCACTCATGCTGTCAGTCACTCACTCACTCACTCTGTCAGTCACTCACTCATGCTGTCAGTCAGTCACTCACTCACTCATGCAGTCAGTCACTCACTCACTCATGCTGTCAGTCAGTCACTCACTCATGCTGTCGGTCACTCACTCACTCATGCTGTCAGTCACTCACTCACTCATGCTGTCAGTCAGTCACTCACTCATGCTGTCAGTCACTCACTCACTCATGCTGTGAGACTCGCTCACTCACTCATGTTGTCAGTCACTCACTCACTCATGCTGTCACTCACTCACTCACGCTGTGAGACTCGCTCACTCACTCATGTTGTCAGTCACTCACTCACTCATGCTGTCAGTCAGTCACTCACTCATGCTGTCAGTCACTCACTCACTCATGCTGTCACTCGCTCACTCACTCATGCTGTGAGACTCGCTCACTCACTCATGTTGTCAGTCACTCACTCACTCATGCTGTCACTCACTCACTCATGCTGTGAGACTCGCTCACTCACTCATGTTGTCAGTCACTCACTCACTCATGCTGTCAGTCAGTCAATCACTCATGCTGTCAGTCACTCACTCACTCATGCTGTCACTCGCTCACTCACTCATGCTGTGAGACTCGCTCACTCACTCATGTTGTCAGTCACTCACTCACTCTTGCTGTCACTCACTCACTCACTCATGCTGTCAGTCACTCACTCACTCATGCTGTCACTCACTCACTCACTCATGCTGTCAGTCACTCACTCACTCATGCTGTGAGTCACTCACTCACTCATGTTGTCAGTCACTCACTCACTCATGCTGTCAGTCACTCACTCACTCGTGCTGTCAGTCACTCACTCACTCATGCTGTCACTCACTCACTCATGCTGTCAAGCAGTCACTCACTCATGCTGTCAGTCACTCACTCACTCATGATGTCACTCACTCACTCACTCACTCATGCTGTCAGTCACTCACTCATGCTGTCAGTCACTCACTCACTCATGCTGTCACTCACTCACTCACTCACTCATGCTGTCAGTCACTCACTCACTCATGCTGTCAGTCACTCACTCACTCATGCTGTCACTCACTCACTCACTCATGCTGTCACTCACTCACTCACTCATGCTGTCACTCACTCACTCACTCATGCTGTCAGTCACTCACTCACTCATGCTGTCACTCACTCACTCACTCATGCTGTCACTCACTCACTCACTCATGCTGTCAGTCACTCACTCACTCATGCTGTCAGTCACTCACTCACTCATGCTGTAACTCACTCACTCACTCATGCTGTCACTCACTCACTCACTCATGCTGTCAGTCACTCACTCACTCATACTGTCAGTCACTCACTCACTCATGCAGTCAGTCACTCACTCACTCACTCATGCTGACACTCACTCACTCATGTTGTCAGTCACTCACTCACTCATGCTGTCAGTCACTCACTCACTCATGCTGTCACTCACTCACTCACTCACTCATGCTGTCAGTCAGTCACTCACTCACTCACTCTTGCTGTCAGTCAGTCACTCACTCATGCTGTCAGTCACTCACTCACTCATGCTGTCAGTCACTCACTCACTCATGCTGTCAGTCACTCACTCATTCATGCTGTCACTCACTCACCCACTCATGCTGTCAGTCACTCACTCACTCATGCTGTCAGTCACTCACTCACTCACTCATGCTGTCACTCACTCACTCACTCACTCATGCTGTCAGTCACTCACTCACTCATGCTGTCAGTCACTCACTCACTCATGCTGTCACTCACTCACTCACACACTCACTCATGCTGTCACTCACTCACTCACTCACTCACTCATGCTGTCAGTCACTCACTCACTCATGCTGTCAGTCACTCACTCACTCATGCTGTCAGTCACTCACTCACTCATGCTGTCAGTCACTCACTCACTCATGCTGTCAGTCACTCACTCACTCATGCTGTCAGTCACTCACTCACTCATGCTGTCAGTCAGTCACTCACTCATGCTGTCAGTCACTCACTCACTCATGATATCACTCACTCACTCACTCACTCACTCATGCTGTCAGTCACTCACTCATGCTGTCAGTCACTCACTCACTCATGCTGTCACTCACTCACTCACTCACTCATGCTGTCAGTCACTCACTCACTCATGCTGTCAGTCACTCACTCACTCATGCTGTCACTCACTCACTCACTCATGCTGTCACTCACTCACTCACTCATGCTGTCACTCCCTCACTCACTCATGCTGTCAGTCACTCACTCACTCATGCTGTCACTCACTCACTCACTCATGCTGTCAGTCACTCACTCACTCATGCTGTCAGTCACTCACTCACTCATGCTGTCACTCACTCACTCACTCATGCTGTCACTCACTCACTCACTCATGCTGTCAGTCACTCACTCACTCATACTGTCAGTCACTCACTCACTCATGCAGTCAGTCACTCACTCACTCATGCTGACACTTACTCACTCATGCTGTCAGTCACTCACTCACTCATGCTGTCAGTCACTCACTCACTCATGCTGTCGGTCACTCACTCACTCATGCTGTCAGTCACTCACTCACTCATGCTGTCACTCACTCACTCACTCATGCTGTCACTCACTCACTCACTCATGCTGTCAGTCACTCACTCACTCATACTGTCAGTCACTCACTCACTCATGCAGTCAGTCACTCACTCACTCATGCTGACACTTACTCACTCATGCTGTCAGTCACTCACTCACTCATGCTGTCAGTCACTCACTCACTCATGCTGTCACTCACTCACTCACTCACTCATGCTGTCAGTCAGTCACTCACTCACTCACTCTTGCTGTCAGTCAGTCACTCACTCATGCTGTCAGTCACTCACTCACTCATGCTGTCAGTCACTCACTCACTCATGCTGTCAGTCACTCACTCATTCATGCTGTCACTCACTCACCCACTCATGCTGTCAGTCACTCACTCACTCATGCTGTCAGTCACTCACTCACTCACTCATGCTGTCACTCACTCACTCACTCACTCATGCTGTCAGTCACTCACTCACTCATGCTGTGAGTCACTCCCTCACTCATGCTGTCAGTCACTCACTCGCTCATGCTGTCAGTCACTCACTCACTCATGCTGTTAGTCAGTCACTCACTCACTCATGCTACTCACTCATTCTGTCAGTCACTCACTCACTCATGCTGTCAGTCACTCACTCACTCATGCTGTTAGTCACTCACTCACTCATGCTGTCAGTCACTCACTCACTCATGCTGTCACTCACTCACTCACTCATGCTGTCAGTCACTCGCTCACTCATTCTGTCAGTCACTCACTCATTCATGCTGTCAGTCACTCACTCATTCATGCTGTCACTCACTCACCCACTCATGCTGTCAGTCACTCACTCACTCATGCTGTCAGTCACTCACTCACTCATGCTGTCAGTCACTCACTCATTCATGCTGTCACTCACTCACCCACTCATGCTGTCAGTCACTCACTCACTCATGCTGTCAGTCACTCACTCACTCACTCATGCTGTCACTCACTCACTCACTCACTCATGCTGTCAGTCACTCACTCACTCATGCTGTGAGTCACTCCCTCACTCATGCTGTCAGTCACTCACTCACTCATGCTACTCACTCATTCTGTCAGTCACTCACTCACTCATGCTGTCAGTCACTCACTCATGCTGTCACTCACTCACTCACTCATGCGGTGAGTCACTCACTCACTCATGCTGTGAGTCACTCACTCACTCATGCTGTGAGTCACTCACTCACTCATGCTGTGCCATCCAGCACCACTGGGTTGCACCGTGCAATGCCTTCTCTGACTCTCCTCCCTTCCCCAGCTCCGCCCACACCTTGGAAGTCAACTGGACTCGCCCCGTCTCTGTGTTCAACCATCCCAACCTAACACCTCTGGTTCAATCCAATCGTGGGTGAACTTCACTCATACACCATCCACGAGAGCAAGCCAGCCGTGTGTTTGCACTGCCCCTTGCCTCTGGCCCCACCTCCTCTTCTCCCCACTCCTCCTCCCCAACCCCTTTTTCCGGCAGGTGGAGAAGCAGTTCCCTGGGGAGGCGGGCGGGGAGGTGCGGCAGCATCTGGTGGGCATCTGCGCGGCGCTGTGTCGCACGGTGCGGGGCACCATCGCTGACTTCCAGCACATCGTGCTCCACGACCCCACTCCGCCACCCGCCCCCACCCCCCGCCCCTCCCTCCCCTCCTGCTCCTCCACCTCCTCCTCCTCCTCAGCCCCCTTCCCCCCTCCTCCTCCTTTGGTTTCAGCCTCTGGCCATGAGGGGGGCGAGGAGAGGAAGGGGGAGGAGGGCGGGGAGGGGAATTGGGAGGAGGATGTGGACTGGAGCCACAGATCGGATTCCAGCCATCGATCTCACCACGGGGGCGGTGGGTCGCACAATCGGACGGTGAGCGGCAGCGCGTCGAGTGGGAGGGGCATTTTGGGGGGCCTGCTGCCGAAGAAGGTCAGCAAGGGGCATGAGGAGGGCAAGGGCGAGGCACGGGGGAAGAGCAAGGCGGAGGGCAAGGAAGGTGGGGGGTCGGCGGGGCAGGAGGTGGTTGTGAGGGGCAGTCCAGACGTGCACCCGCTGACAAGCTACGTGGTGAACTTTATCCTCCTCTACTTCGACGAGTGCGTGGCCCTACCCTCATGTCCTGCCATTTGTATCCATGCCCTGCACTGTGAGTCAATGCACTGTGAGTCAATGCACTGTGAGTCAATGCACTGTGAGTCAATGCACTGTGAGTCAATGCACTGTGAGTCAATGCACTGTGAGTCAATGCACTGTGAGTCAATGCACTGTGAGTCAATGCACTGTGAGTCAATGCGTATCACCTCAGAGTGGATAGTGTGTTTTATGTTCTGCAATGATTTTAATACACACCCTAAGCTCTTGGGAATAGATTGATGGAGGAAGCTGGCATGAGCATAAGCTGGCCAGCTGTGTGATCAGCTTCATCTGCTCCCCATGCACCAGTAAGGATCACCATCTTCATCTCTACTGCCGAAGGCGCCTTACGTGAAGCCACCCATCCTACTGCTATTCTTCCCCCCGCCCCTCCCAATGTGACCTGTGTGTGTGTGCCGTGCCCCACAGGACGCTGTACCTGGGCACGCTGCTGCTGGTGTACGACGAGGGGGGCGACCAGCACGAGGGCGCCGTGCGAGTGGGCGCCGCCACGCGCCACCTGCTGGCGGCGCTCAAGGCGAATCTGGAGCGCAAGGGAGACGCGTTCCACGATGAGGCGATGCGCGCCGTGTTCCTCATGAACAACTGCGAGTACATCCAGCGCAAGGTGGAGGAGTGAGTACATCCAGCGCAAGGTGGAGGAGTGAGTACATCCAGCGCAAGGTGGAGGAGTGAGTCACTCATTGTGCTTTTGCCCTCTTTCTTTTGTTTATTTATTATTCTAGATCTCACCACTATTAATGTTACTGCTGCGGCTGTTGCTGCTGTCGCCGCCACCACCGTCGCTGCTGCCGCTGCTGTTGCTGTTGCTGTTATTATCTCATGACTGTTGGTGGTATTAGTGATCCTTTAGCAGAAATGAGGTGTTTTTATGGGCGTGTGATTGACTGTGAATGCAGCTAGAATAAGGCTGATTGCGTGTGATGTGATGTGCTGTGCATGGCAGGCAGCATGTGAAGATGATCCTTGGGCGGGCGTGGGTGGATGAAAACGCCAAGGACCTTGAGAAGCACCGAGACATCTACATTCGATGTATTGTGAATAAGGTGAGACATCTACATTCGATGTATTGTGAACAGGGTTGGAACACAACAAATTTCGCTGATTGGTTCTTTTTGAAACTTGCAAATCTCACGAATAGTCAAATCATCAAAGCTCAACACGATTCAGCTAGAACGGCATCCCCACCACTCACATCGGACCATCAGTTTGGCAGGACGGCACCCATATCATCAATGGCTCACGCCGCTTTCTTCGCCACTTCATACTGTCAAACATTCTATTCGCTGCAAGCTCAAATCGACCTCCTTTCTCCATTGGAGGACATCCAAGCTGATGTAGAGTTTCCATTCAGCCATACAACCGTTCGACGGTCCTAACCAACACCCCATCAGGTGGCCACCGCTTGATCGGGTCATGGAGTGGACGTGCAAGCGTTCATGACTTGCGGTCTTCAGATGCGCGTTGAATTTCTCACAGCACACCAATGCGCACCATCAATGCCCATGCTTGTCCCCCCACCACCCCCCCCGCCAGGTGGCGGGTGTGCTGTCAGACCACCGGGGTGACGTGGCGGCGTTCACAAAGCGAGTGCAGGCGCTGCACGCGCTGCTGGAGGGCGTGCAGGCACAGCAGAGTGGGTGGAGCATTGGGAATGCCGACCTGCGTGCGTTCGTGCGGGGAGAGGTGGCCTCGCAGGTGCTGCTCAGATACTCCGACTTCCTCGACCGCCACAGGTACGCTCCATGCCACTCCCACTCCCACTCCCACTCCCACTCCCACTCCCTCCCCGTGTTGCTGTGCGCTGGAGGGGACTCCCAGTCCCGTGTTGCGGTGCTGTTGAGGCGGTGGAGGGCGCGTGCTGAGGGATGTGGTGGAGGTGGGGTAGTGAGGCATGTGGGGAGAAGGGAGGGAGAAGCAGCAAGAAGGGGAGGCAGTGAGGAATCAAGAGGGATGAGGTTGGGAGAAATCGAGGTGAAGGGGTGCAAGAGAAGAGTGTGTTCGTTGATGGGATGGAAGAAAATGGTGGGTTGTCCTGTAGCCACTCGCAACATACATGCCACATGCATGCCACACACATGTCGACACTCACACCACACACGTGCAATAAACATGCCTTATGCCATGCCGGGCCTCCATCTCACGGCATGTGGCTTTTTCCGTGTGGCTTGACATGACACGTTGGTTCGGCTCGATGTGGCATGGCATGGCAGGTCTATAGTGGAGAGCCGAGCGTGCAAGGTGCGAGTGCTGACACGGCAGGAGGTGCATGCGTGGCTGACAGAGATATTCGACATGAAGAAGCATGGATGAGGTGTGCCATGCCTCAGGGAGGGTGATAAAAACACCAGAGGGAGGTGTCTTAGTGCTGTAACATAACATCCTAGCATCAGATAGGCTACAGGGTGGAATGAGTCAATGTTCGATGTTCTGCCTTACCAGGACAGGGCAAACACAATGATGGTCGTGCGGAGCAGTGACCGGTATGGCAATACATCTTTCCTCCCTGCATTGTGTTCTAAAGCAGGTGCTTCAATGTGCCGAAGTACGTAACAACACTTCCAGGCCTGAGAAATTGATTAGTAACCAAATGAATTGACTAAGATGGGGGTAATCTGTGCATTCCACCTGCTTACACAACTGTTTAGGTACAAAGAGGAAAAAACACACAACGTACCACTTTCAAAAGGATATGCACTAGTACGTAGGGTCTTCTCCCAGTAAGGCTCACAAAAACTGATGTGCGGCTCAGCTCAGCTCAGCTCATCTCAGCTCAGCTCAGCTCAGCTCAGCTCAGCTCAGCTCAGCTCAGGGTTTCTATAGATACTGTTTAAGTGAGTGGCTACTCCCTCACTATTGGACGACAACGGCCACTTTCATGTTCATCCCACAGTGGCCGTACACTTGGCAGCCGAATTACAGCGTGCTGCCCCGTGCCGTCGCCGGCACTGTGAACCTGAAAGGGGAGCCAAGCCGGGCAAAGAGAGACATCAGAAGCGCTAGGGTGCTATTTGGAAACAAGCGTGAGGCAAGGCGACACGACACCAGGGTGTCGGCAAGGAAGGCGGACACAAGTGGTGCTCACTTGTACGTCTTGCCAAGGGCCATGTGTTGTGTGCCTTCTCTTTGGCACCGCTGAAGTCACAGCTCAGGTAGGCAGCAGCGCTGCTCATCTGCCACACGTCGTGGTAACCCGTCCACTTGAACACTGCACAGCACGCCGCACGGACGTGGGATGCAGGGCGCACAGGTAATGTGTGATGCGAGACAAGGGAGAGCAAGGAGCGGTCATTAAGGCAAGGTGGTCAACTTAGGGTAGAACAATAGGGCGAGCTAAAGAGCACAAGGGGTATGCAACCAGCATTGAAGACGCAAGAACCGAGGGGGGAATTTCAGCAAGGGGAGGCATCAGGAGTGTAGTGGCGGCACATGGGACAGGCACGCACCGAGCACATCGCGTGCTTTAGCGATGGGATTGGGCTTCCAGCTGCTCACACCGTACGCCCACCCCTTGTTGCCGCCCACTACGATCTCACGCGCCTGCGCTCGTGGGGCAGCATGCATGCACATGGGGCGCGCGCATCATGATACACAAGCATGCTTGCAGGATTCATGGAGCTGAACTGCACGCATGTGAGCAAGGGCACTGTCTGACTCGGGACGGAAGCGGGGAAATGGACGAGGAAAGGGCGGGCGCGGGAAGAGCAGGCGAGAGGAAGCGGGAGGACAAGTGAATCAGCAAGTGCAGCGCTGAGACTCCAACTCTTTACGTGCCGAGGAGGGCAGTGCGGGAGGAAAAGCGCGGGCTGCACGTGCAAGCGATGGCAAGGAAAATCAGGCGGGGCAACGTATGGAGAGGAAGGGCGAAGGACGAGGGGCGAGGGGCGAGGGGCGTATCTCTGCGTGAGTTGCGGCTGAGGAGCAGATGATCCGACGGCAGGGGCGATCATGGTAGAACGCAGTACACAGCAAGGCGAGGGGGAGCCCACGACGCGATCGGCGGACGCGAGAGAAGCGCAGGGCGCGTGGGACATCAGAAGAATGTGAAGGAAGCATCGGGTTGTAAACGCCGATTTGCTTGGCATATACTACGTGCGGACTGTGGTTTCTCCCCACCCCAATAAACGACCAGGGGTATTGCGCGATGTACGTTGAAAACAGAGGGGGGTCATGATCACCGTTTACGCGCGAAAATTGTGCTACAGTGACCTAGTGTGCATTGCCATACATTCCGATAAGTTGCCTAGTACCCCCACTTACGACCGAGTAGTATCGAGTCTTCGATTTCTACCTACCCTAGTTTAGGACGCGGCACCTCAAGCAATTTTGCACGATCGATCGCAGGATCGCTGATTCAACCGTACTGAAATTCTGCTGAAAGTCTTTAAAGCTTTTATAACCATTTCAAACTCCTAAATCATTCGATCCTGCGCAGGGTCGATCGCAGGTTCGGTGCTGGAGGTGCCGCGTCCTTACTTTGACATCCTGCGCATCAACCGTGGTTGGTTTCGCTTTACCATCGCTGTGAGGATTTACAAATCCTTACTGATGCACTCGTTAGCGAGGACATCCCGAGGGTCACGCGAGGAACCTGACCTTCTTACACCTGTTCCGCGTTATTTTCACACTCTGAAAATCGCGCACGCGGCTTTGTCTGTTCTGGGGGGTGTGAAGTTAGGGGTAAGAAAACTGTTCCGACTAATTTCACGCGCGCTGAGTCAGCGCGCGTGGAAAGTGAAATCCGAAAGTTGACTCAGCAGCTTTGACTTTGTTGAACATTCCTTGTGTGTAGGAGACACCTCCGAAAATGCAAAACTCAAGAGAAACAAATTCTATAACTGGAAAAATGCAAGTACACCTGAACGTAAATGAAGGCCTACAAACAAAAACAGAAATTCGGAACATGATACAATGCTCCTTCCTTGCACACGTTAAAAGGCAATGGTACAAGGAGCACTATGTGTTTAGCCCAGCATACGCGAACGCCATGTTTTCTTCTGAAAGCAGGTCCCTAAAACTGTAGGTACCTGCGGCGCGATCAACCGCGGGACGAACATACCTCGCCATAGAGGAATCCGATGCGAACTCATGCAAGGCCGTCGTTGCCGCTGCTGCATCTGCAGCATCCATGCCTGCCTCAGAGGGGGGCGCGTCATTCAGATCGAATGGGACGCCGCGGTTTCCGGGTTGGGCAGTCCACCAACTCCTACCAACCCACTCCGTGTCGTTTGCAACGCGTGTAGAAGTGGCGACGTGGTCGTCACAACCAACGAACGCCCGAGCGGTCATTAAAGGATCGTCAATCTTCAGTTTTTTCATTAACACACCTAGAGCTGTGATGTCAGCCGTCTCAGGATCCTTAGAAGGTCCTTGAAATAACCGTTCCAACCCCCACTCCTCCAACCAAGTGTACGGCACCACACCGGACCGAGATGGTGAAGCTGGGTTGGACATTCTAATTTGTACACGTCAGGTTCATGTGTACTTGATTCAAGGAAGAATGCGTGCATTTTTTTGTATGGTCGCGTTTTTGGCGCTGTGATTTTCGCCAATGCGAATTGAACACAGGGCTGACGCTATCAGACTAAATAGTCTGATTAGTCTGACCAATCAGAGCATTGAGGTTGTGGAAAATGGATTTGCAGAGTAATCAATATCTCATCCCTGAGGGCCTCAGTGTTATTGTTTGTAGGCCCTTGATATAGTGTAATAGTTCTCAGACTTAGTCGTTTCTGGAGTCTGGCTCTACAGAGTATACGGTATGTGGACCCTGTATGCCGGTGTATTGAAAGGAAGCTTCCCCGAAATGTCCGAAAGTACCCCCCCCCCCCCCCCCTCATTAAAACTTTCCACGCGTAATCATTTCACCACCCCCCGTGGTTGTCTTCTTGTTCGCATGGCCTCGAAACCACGTAATGTTGACAAAAGCTGTTGGTGCGCTGTGCACAGCAAGGCAGCCAGGTGCGGCGTGCTGCGCAGTTTGATGATGACTCTGCAGCCACGCGAACCGCGCCACCCTCACTCAATGTGATGGGTTGATCGCGATTGGTGGCATGGCTCACCAGCTATGTGTGGTGGCATTGTGGCAGATGAATTTGGCCCCGTCTTCGAGGCCCGATTCATTCATCAAACCCCACCCCACTCCGTGAGCCATTGTCGTGGCGACGCGGCTTTCGTTCCGTCTGCTGCAGCTGGTTCTTTCCAGGCTGAAGGGTCTCCCAGTTTCACAGTTTGCTTTCATTCTCGTAATTTCAGATTCTTGATTCATCGTTCTCTCTCGCCATGGCGTCCTCATCTCCCGCGGAGGACTCCCCTGAGGCCGTCCCGGAAAAGCCTCCTGATCGTAGGGTTAGAGGCCTAGACTTCCTTCGATCAAGCGTAGCTCCAGTCACTCCAGAACCTTTAGTTACCGCTGCTGTTTTTAATAATGAGGAGATCCCGTCGTCCAGCAAGAATCCGCAACCGGCCCCCAATCCCGCGCCTGCTCCAGCGCCGTTCACTCTCCCTCCCGCCATCGCGTCGTCTAGCAAGGGGCCGCAACCACCACCAGCGCCGTTCACTCTCCCTCCCGCCATCCCGTCGTCTAGCAAGGGGCCGCAACCTCCTCGCAATCCCGCACCACCACCAGCGCCGTTCACCCTCCCTCCCGCCATCCCATCGTCCAGTACAGCGCCTCCCTCTGCTGTTGGTAGCAGTGGCTGCAATGATGCCGCTCCCGCGTCCGAGGGTCGTACAGCGAAGAAGGCGCGCACTGTCGTACTCCGCGGGAAGTTTCAGCAGAGCACGTTGACCTTCGGCGGTGTGCGCGTGGCACCACCAAGCGCTCCAGAAGACTCCGAGCCCGAATCAGAGGAACCAGAGGAGA